TTTGCTATGGAATTAAATTTATTGTCATTATGCCTTTTTGAGTGAAGGTGCATTAGTCACAGAAACAATAATTTAATGTAAAGTATTTAATTCATTATTTTAAGAGATGAGGTGTCAAATTAATTTCAACAGTCAGTGTAATGCGATTAAAACCTGATTGTCTAAACTAGAAACATGCACCAAAATAGGATTGGTGAATTAGAATTTTAACAACCATCACTTGTGCACTTTGTGAGAGAAAAATATATATGGTACAGCTTGTTTTACTTCAAAATTAATTTATGGTGTGTTTAGGCAAAACAACTGTGAATTTTACAACACGATTCTCTATGTATTATGTGTGAACTGATGTGAATACATTTGTTATCTTGACTCCATCTAGTGGTTCTTTTTGGAATATAATTTGAAACTAGCTATAGAATAGGAATTGACACATATTTTGTATGGATAATTAAAACCAATGAGCTGAAGACATTCATAAAGCATATATTCTAGATACAACAGGCTTCGTGCAATTACTGTTACTATTAATAGTAAATATTGTGTCATACAACTGAACTGGTTGTATGGTAGTTGTATAATGAAGGGAAAGAAAGCAGGGTTAAGATTATGCTATGGATAAAAACATTTTTTTAAAAAAAAGGTAAACGTACATTATTCCATTTATTTATGGTGTAAATGGAGGGGCAGAAGTTTGTTATTTATTAATATAATCTTGATATTATATGTCATATATTATTATATGAAGACTTTTTAAAGAATTAATGTTTAAAAGCATATGCCAGGCATAATTCTCTGTATAGAATTTGATATGCTGTAAAGTAGTATAAACACAATAAAACAAAATTAAAAGAAAAGTCTAAATTAGCTGCCTTACCTTTTATGAGTACCCTACCTAGTGCCGAATACTCACGGGAAACCCGTAAATTAACTTTCACAATGTTTGTTCTAGCAACCCCTAAAAATGTTTGATCCTCCCTGGTTAATTAAAGTTAATTAAAGAGACTATTTTTGTTTCTTGGGATGACTCTTGGCTCACTTCAGTTGATATGCAGGCCCTGTTAACCTTCTACACAATTCAGATTTAGTTGATATCCTATTATTAAATCTAGCTATTATAATGTTGTCTAATATGTGCTCTTCATAGCCAACACCATAAAGCTAATGTCAAGTCATTTGATGTGAATATTTAGTGGGGGTTGGATAAATGTGTATAGGAAATGTTTTAAGGGTAGTGAGATCAAATGGTAGATGTAATATATAAGTCATGATACTGTGGGAGAACCAGGCAGACAAGCCGGTACTGGCCAACCAACCAGATATCATGCTGGTGGACAAGGAACAGAAGACTGCCGATGGTGGATGTGGTAATACCCAATGACCACCAAGAAGAAGGAGCATAAGAAAGTAGGGGCTGAAAGAGGAGCTAAAAAGGAAAATGAAAGTGAAGGAGGTAGCAGCAACAGCTGTGATATTAGCTTTCAGGGCTTTAAGCCTTATTCTGTAAGAGTGGCTTCAGAAGATTCTAGGTGGGACATCTGAGATCTATGTCCAGAAGGGTGCAGTTCTAGGAACAGCTAACATACTGCGTACAACCCATGGACTCCCTGGACTCGGTCAGAGGACCATAGAATGAATAAACACCCAGAGAGAAGAGATACTGCCTAATTCACGCTTTCTGAAAACAGGATTTAAATATGTATCCATTGTACAGCGCTACAGAATTTGTTGGTGCCTTATAAATAATAATAATTGTTCAGTAAAAGGTATTATTACATACCGATTCCACAATACTATGTTAATCTCTGAACTAACGAATATTGTACGAAAACGAATGAAAGAATTGACGAATTTCGGTTCTGACTAAACTATTTTCTTTTTCGTACGAATACATTCGTACGAAACGAAAATTTCTGAAATGCCCAAGTCTACTATAAAGTCCCAAAGGCAACGTAACCAATCTGGCGAATTTCAATTTCAAATGTAACGTGCTATATTTGACCCTGTAACTTCCCAAAACGCCATAAAACCTGTACATAGGGGGTACTGTTTTACACGTGAGACTTTGCTGAATACAAATATGTGTATTTTATTGCAGTAAAAGCAAACAGTATTATGACATTGACCGTTAAAATGCCATGTAGAATACATCTTATTTTCTCCCATTTTTTTCATATTAAATTATGTTTCATAGCTAAATATTTGATATTAAATGAAAGCCCTGTTTCCCCTGAATAAAATGATATATAATAAGGGTGGGTGTATTTAATATGTAAGAGGTGTATTACGGTTGGACAGACATGTAGCGCAAATACCAGGTTTTGTTTACATTTTGTTTTGTTCACAATGTGTACATTTGGCTCCGTCCTTAAGGGGTTAACACCTGAGTGGGCCTATGCTTGTTTACAAATATAGGCCCAACTAATGTTGTTATTGGGATACAAAAGCCACTAGACTTGGGCATTCATTTTCGAATGAACACATTTTCATCCAGATTTTCAGCAAATCGTTCATTCGTCCAAAAGAGGAATGAAACAATGTACATATTTTTTGTTGGACTAAATTTCGGCCATGCAATTTGTTACTATGTTTGTTTGTTTTCGTTTATTACAAGGAATGTAGCCCCATGTAACAAATGTGCAGTTTAGTGGAAAGGGGCCTTGACAATGGGGTTAGGAGGCGAGCATTGGAGGAAGCTAATAGGATTGGTTATGTGGGGTTAAGGGGCTGGGCTATATAAGTAGGCAGACATCTTGGAAAGATCACTTTTAACTTGCCTACCTGGCTGAGTTTGTCCCACCCTCCCTCCCTAGGTTTTGGCCATGTGAGGTTCCCGTTTTGTCACAGCAGCAGGATAGGGAGCTCTAGATGAGGAAATAGGCTCCCCAGTAGGAAGGTTATGTTAATGGTTATTGGTATGTTTGGTAGGTTTCGTGTCCTGTCGGTGGCTTAGAACCTGGTGGGGTAGGGGTATCCAGGTATATCTCTGCCATGGTTGAGTTATAATAAATGGTTGGCACTTTGAGTGATGTTATGTTAGTATAATGTTATATATATATGTAATTTATAGTGGGGTCATTGCCTTTTATACCTAATGACGTATGCGGAAGTAAGGGCGTGGCATAGGGCAATGACCCAAAAGTTTCTATGTTAAGTTATTAATATTTATATATTTAATAAAGCTGTGGACAATTTTACCCATATACCCTAGAGTCCGTGTATTATTGGGGTAGGTATGTGGGGGGTTTGTCCAAGGTTCCGGATGCCCATATGGCGACGATACACCGGTCAAGAGCTACCAGCTTGCGGCTCCCACCTTGCACATTTCAAATAGAAGCAGCGGGAGCTTTGCTCCCTGACACTTTCTAATTCACACTCTGCCCCCTTATCATTAGCCTATGGGGGTCAAAATGACTCCCATATTAGTATAAGGTAGGTTAAAGGAATACAAAAGCCACTAGACTTGAGCATTCATTTTCGAATGAACACATTTTCATCCTGCTCCTACCCTCCGTGCCACAAATATCCTCCCCGCCCAATGACTAGGTGTCCCCAAGACCCTAGTCACACCTCCCACCACCCTCATCCTAATAATACAGTTTTTGGAGCTGAAGAAAAGAAGATGGAAAAAGAAAGAAGACAGCTAATGTTTATTTATTTTTTTATATGTATTTAGTTTATTGGCCCCATCACTATTATTAGGCTTGGGGACCTGTAGTCACCTGGGGGTTCATTTTTATTGGAGAGACAATAAATACACCCCCCTTATTATTTGGGTACAATAGGTCCACCCCCACGTTATTACTTAGAGCCTCTGCCTGCTAATAGATGGGGTCTGGGAGAGACAATAAGTCCACTCTCTTGTTTTCTAGGCCCCTCTCATACCACCAATGAGTGTGGGATGGGGGACACTGTGCCCCCTGTTATTATATTTAGAACCCACACCTGGGCCTGGTTATTTAATCACCAGAGAAAAACATTTGTGTCATTAGGGGGTCATCTATGAGCAATATATTGGCAAAGTGCTAAAGCAATCTGCATGAACATTGCAATTGTTCTAGTGAAAGAGACCTTTGCTCCGCAGTTGTCCTTTATCCATATCCTCCAGTGTTTTTATTTGGTTTTATCAATCTCAAGGAAGGTGAAATTTTTAATCAAACAGCAAATGCAAATCAATAGCTTGGGGGGACGGGGCTGGGCTACCGGGCCGACTGGAAGCAGACAAGCATGGCTCTGAGCACGAGCCCCAAACAAAGGCCACAAAACCTAATATAACTCACTCTAACATCGGACATCTGGACATGCTGCAAGAGAGAAGCACCCCAGCATTAAAAAGACACCTGCAAAGGGCCGACAGCACGCCGGGAACACTAACACAAAAAAAATCCAGCCTACCTGTTAGCATAAGCCTGACTTCAGACGGTGCTAGAGCAGGACTCAGAGACTGGTGATCCGCTTGAATGAACAAAGCATCATAGAGTCACCTATCCCCTAGGGGGACCATGCCGGCTCGGGGGCCTGCCCCCAACATGTTCGAATGTAGGTTTATTAGGTTGCAGTGACTTCGGGAGAGAGCCTCATTTTTTAATTAAAATACTTGAAAATATTTTAACAGAACCTGGAGGATTGCATCCATTGACTATTTGCTCTATATTCACTATAATGAACTGTAGTGGTTATGGTGTTTAGATTACTACTTTAAGCATAGGGTCAGGGCCGCCATCAGGTGGGTGAACCCGGCCTCATGGGGACGGCAGATGCCGAGGCGGACATCTCCGCTCGAGGACCACGCTGGTCCCCTGCACTGGCAAGGGCAGTCAGGAAGAAGCCTGCCAGAATAACAGACCACAGAGACTGTGGAGGCCGACACGGTGGAGAGGGTACACAGTTCAAGAGGAAGCACCCAGGGCGAGATTGAAACGAGCCTGTGGAAGCCCAGAAGAAGAAGCTGAGCAGCGCATACAGCATCGGGGCCTGGCATGGACGGCTCGCGTGGACTCGGGCAAGGCGGAGCACCAGATGGAGCCTCTGTGGTGCTCCCGCACACACAGGAGTAGTGAGTAGCCCGGCCTCTAGGTATGGGGGTCCCTGGAGAGCCATGTCCCCGCTGCTGTGAGCCCTGTGGGGCAGGAGTGCGCTACCCTTCCGGCGGACCGGTGGCTGTGGAGGCCGCGCACTGGCCCCAAGAGTGAGGCCGGCACCGGGAGAGACATGGGAGTGCGCGCTGCAGAGGGAACAGCGGGGTGCTGGGGAGGTGCAAGGGGCTGGCTGCCCGCGGACTTTGGTGGTGGGGTCTGGTGGACGGTTTCGGCCCCCGAGTGCCTACGGCGCCGCGATGGACCCGGCCGGTGGGCTGGGGGCACTGCGGAGGTGACGGAAGGAGGCTCGGCATCCCTGGGACTGTGCTGCAGTGGAGACATGCGGGGCCTCCCTCGGACTGCCAGTCAGGACTGCCAGTCAGGAACAATTTTTATTTTCTAAATGCTCCCTCTCATTCACTGGGCATTTAGTTACTGTCCGCGCCAGATGGCTACACTCAGTGTTGAATATAACCAAGTTCACAAACGAATATGCTTCATATGTAACTGCTTGGTCGACATTTACTTTGGTGACTTATACACATCAGCTTCAGAATGGATATGTTATGTTGTAGTGCCCCCACGGGCAAAAGCTTGACACCATTCATTATTGCCTACTTGAATAGCCAGAATGTTGTATTATACGCTGTATATTAATATGCTTATGACCGCGCTCATCTAGTCACATATATCATGCGTTAACTCTGACATTCTGAGAAGACGCTCAAGGCTCACATATAGGCACCCTAGTTTATTTCTCGATAATATGGGAACCCATGTACACGTAATATCATTTGTTTGTTTATGCATCCCTCTACCAGTATCGCATCAATAGCTAAGGCATACATCAGCACTTGTAGTATAGGATGGTCATTTCTTTTAACACTGCATTAGTTTGCCTATATACTTCATTACATGTATTGCATGATCAGCTACAGTCTACTTCAGATTGACGCATTATAGGATGTTGTTACCTTTTATGCTGTAATGCTTAGAAATGTATTCCTGCAAAGTTCAAGTATGTCCTGATCATTACGCCTCTGCGCAGGCGATAATCTGCATTTATTCCTATGTGCTAACATTTAAGCCTCTACGTAGGCGGCCGTTCACCTTCACGAATGCTATAAATTACTGCTTAAGCCTCTGCGTGGGCAACCTCTGGCTTTATTACGAACCAGTTTGCAATATGCACTTATATTGTGAAAACAATAAAAATATTCAAAACAAATCAATAGCTTACCCAATGACTCAACGTGTCTGTATTTTCTAGACGACAGAGGGGTTCAATCTTAAACCAATTATAGGCTGCGCTGTTTATAGAATGTTGGGCCAGACTCCAGACCTTCTGGAATACGGACAACTTTTTATTCCTTCTAATATATATTATGTAGTGTGGCCAGGAGTAAACCTAGAGTATCTAGAGGAAAAAGGTCTGCTAGACTTTGTGTTATGAGCTAGTCTGAGTGAGAGATATCAGATGCAAGTAGTAGAGTTCATCTGTGAGTTTGAGTGAGCTACCTGTAAGGTAAGTGACTAAAAGGAAGTGATAAGCATAAAGGTTGGCTCCCATTATCTGGGACTTTAATGATAGGAATAACATTTCTAGATTTAGACAGGAGCTATGACAGGAGTATAGAATATTTGCGGGTTAGAAAGATCCCTTTGTTGTTCTAGCCAATGTGTTGGAGGTTACAGATGTAATACAAGACTAATATGAGTTGTGGATTTAATTACCATTGAAATTACATGGTTTATTCACTAAACTGGAAACTGCAGAGAATTGAAAAGGGTATTAGAAATGTTAGGCCAATATAATCATGAAGCATATATACAGCTGAGTTTGAGAACTCAGACAGATCTCGACTAAAATAAGCTCGCCAGAAATCTGACTATTTAGCCCTAAACATGAAATTATCTTGTCCCTATGTGCCATTTTAACATGTCACTATTTATTATTATTCCTACAGGGGACCATTACCACTCAATGGCCCGTCACTTCAACCAGCAGTGGGCAGCTGCCATGAGAAGACAAAGGTGAAATAAATATTTAACGATGTGGTGTCGAATAAATTACCAGATCAACCTGTATTTGAATTTTGGGCCCATGTTAGGATGTCACCCTCAGTACGTGCACGTTCCCTTGGTTGTTGGAATCAATCTAGAAGAAGTTGTACAGGTCCATAGGTATTTATTGAAAACTAAAAACCCCATACTTATAGATAGGTTTAGTGTTTAAATGTACTTAAGAATAATATATATATACTTTTTAATATAGGATGTTAGCAGGTAATAAATTCTATTTTTCTCTATACACCTGGATGGGGCTGGCGTAAGTTGTAGTAAAACAGCGGCAGGATTTTGTTTTTTTGCATTCGGTTAACTATCTAAGGGGTGTAATGTTTAGCTCTGGGTGAGGTCCTGGAAAGCCTGATGTAGACAACCTTTTATTGTTATCCCAGTAATATTGAGAGGGAAATATAACCTGCAACTATATTGTTTGTGACAGGGCAACTTTAATACACCTAATGTGGAGTTAGTTATACAGCTCGGTGTGGGAATATTTCTGTCAAGGTCCACAATCAGATGGGGAAAATGATCATCTCATTTTACTTATATCTGCTGATATGCAAATTGTTGGGGAAAATGTCTAAATAAATAAAATAAAAAATAAATGCAACTTTATAGCCCTTCCAAAGTTTCTAATGTTATTTTTCCATTAAAGTTAATATAAAACCCAGCATACATGTTGTTCCAGACACAACTCTTTACACCAGTAGAACAATCCTGCTCATTGATCCACTTCTATTGCAGCAGAATTGCACATGTTTTTTTCCTATTACGTTGTTACAAATCATTATACAAACAAAATACCAGCCAGTTCTGAATAAACGTGATTAAGGACCTGTCTCCCAGTTTTTAAAACATTAATAAATATCCTATAAAACTAATCTAAATTATTTATCACAATGATTGTTGCTCATTTCCTTATTGATATAACTTCACTGGTTATCCTTTCTTAATTTTTATAGTTTATCTTTAACACTTCTGAAAGCTAGGTGTCTTTTATTTTAATCTGATTCCGGTGTAAAGTTCAACCTCTGTTTGAATCGGCGCTCCTGGTGATGTCTTTCTTCCTGTTCCTCGGTAATTGCAACGTTGGCAGGGATTTCATGATAACCAAAGGAAACAAATGACTAAAATCGCATGAATGTCCATGGTCAGGTTTGAGCTTTATGACAATAAGAAATGGAATAAAGGAAAAGGAGATAAGCTACAAAGGAACATCCAGTCAATACAAGAAATGTCCAATCATGTCTAGATTTATCGTAATATTACTCCAAGCAGTGAAATTGAAAGGGTTACTTCAAGTAACTGATATGGAATACGGAGATTAATCCGTCAACTGTTGCAGGTGTAACACCACCGCCAGCAGTTTCACTGGAGTGTCATCATTCAGTCAAAAACAAGAGTTCTGGGCTGGCTAATGTCAATTTTGCACAGGATAAAAGGGAATTGAGGGGCACTCCTGGAAAGATTACGGATTAGGGAATAATGGGCACACACAAAAAAACATAGTTTACATTGTATCTTAGTCACCAAATAGTTTTTCCTGCATGTGTCTTGTGAGCTTGCACTAACAATTTGCCTTGCTGCTTTCAACAAAAATGCTAAATCTCTGAGACAAAAAGGGGTGTCTGCAATGGCTACAGTATTCATCAGCCCCAATATATAGAACAAAATTAAGGTGTGCAATTTGGGGGGGAGGTCAAGTCAGATTTCCTGCCTAAATTATGTAAATGTGACAAGTAATATATGTAATCTATAGAATGATGCTTTATTAAGCACCCCTATGAATACAAATAAAACACAAAAGACAAGTACAATGCTGCAGTGATAACATTATATAATTCCCCCTTTAAAAAACCTAAACACATAGGGGTGTGGCTTGAACCTCGCTGAGAGCAGACGCAAGATCGCGGTGCTCTGGCGCTTAAACAGCAAAGCCGGTATTACCGTTCCAGCGGCGTTAGCCTGACCCCACAAGCGACCAGGATACCAGGCAAGATATGGGGAAACTGAAGAAGCGTAAAACTCAATCGGGGGAAGGAAACAGGACCATAGGTGACATAATTCCAACACGGCCTAAAACCAGGATGGCGGCAGTCCTCCCTTTCCACCTCTCTTAGTGGTCCTCCCTCTCCCCAACCCCTTAGTGGTCTAAGGGGGGGGGGGGTGAGGGAGGACCACTAAGGGTCTTAAGGTTGGGGGGGAGTGAGAGGACCACTAAGGTGGGGGAGGAGGGAGTAAGAAGACCGCTAATAGGCGAAAGGGGGGAGTGAGAGGACCACCAAGGGGGGACTGGAGAGGACCACTAAGAGGGGGGGAGACCACTAAGGGAAAGGAAGGGTAGAGGAACACTGATTGACAGGGAAGAGAGGGGAGAGACCACTAAGTGACAGGGGCAGGGGAGAGCTCTAAGGATGGAGGGGTAGGGGAGATCACTAAAAAAACAGGGGAGATCACTAAGGGACAGGATAGGTGGGGAGAGTACTAATGGACTGGAGGGGAGGGAATATAAATAAGGGACAGGGGGCCAAGGGAGAGCACTAAGGGTCAGGAGGGGAGGAGAGCGCACTAAGGGACAGGAGGTGAGAACACTGAGGGACAGGAGGGGAGAGCAATATACAATAAAACTAAAAAAGAGCTGCTCCACACACACACACTCCTTCTCTTACACACACTCAATCAGGGCCGGACTGGGGAAAAAATTAGGCCCGGGCATTTTTCAATCAGAGCGGCCCCCTAAGAAGGGGGCGGTGCCAGAGAGTGTGTGTTTTGTCATCACTAATGACAACACGCCCCCTCTCAAAATGAGCATGTTGGTTCAATGCCCAGAGCCCTGCTGAAGAGCTCTGGCATTAGAAAAAGGCCCTGAATTTGTTCTGCGCAGGGCAAGCAAATTTAATAACATGCTTGCGCTGTGTTTGCTTTTAAATTGTCTCTGGTGTCTCCACAAGTGGGATACCAGAGGACAAAAGGGCCAGGAAAGTGCATGGTGCATATGTTTGTAGCCTGCTTGTGGGATTGCGTGTGTGTAGAGTGTGGTGTGGTATTGTATAAATAGGTCAATTTAATTTGTGTTTGTGGTGTTATATGTGTGCCTAGGGGCTGTAGAGAGTGTGTGTATAGGGGGCATAGTGTTATAGGGGATGCAGCGAGTGTGTGCATACGGGCTGAAGTGTGTGTATAGGTGACGTAGTGTGTGTAGGGGTTGCAGAGAGGGTGTGTTTAGAGAATGTTGTGTTTGCTGACAAGGAATG